ATCAATGCAACTACACAAAAGTTATGCTCCCTATTCATGTTGATCACCCTAGGAAAGGCATGTTGTGTATTCACAGACCTTATGTTCAATATTAATGTTTTGATCATCATTTAGATAGAGAAGCTGCCCTCCTGGGCATAATTCTTAGAGGTTGTTGTGACTCTTTATTCTGATTCTTCTTTGTTTTCTTGCCTCCTTTAGCACTAGTTGTAGGTGATAGATCCCCATCCTTAGCCACCTGCTTGAAGTTTTCTTCTGTTGATTTATCATCTCCCTCATCCTCCATAGGATTTTGTCTCATTAAGTCTTCATCAATTGGTGCCACATTGTGTGTAACTAAATCATGTAGATGTTGTAGTGGAGTCTTCAGTGGAACATTAAGCTGCAACTACATAATTTGATCAGTGCCATATTCCATAGGCACTTCCTCTATTTCCCCAGATGCTCTTGGAATAATTGCGTGCTCATCATTCTTTTAACTGTTATTCTCCAATCCTTCTGTATCATCCTTAACCTTCACATTATCATCAAGTTCGTTCTCCAATGCATACACCGGAACACCATCTACATATGCCAAAATCTTGCCAGTTGCACTAGTGACAAGATTAACTATCATTGCTTCATCAGGTGACCCTGGCGCCAAGCCTGGCGTTGCTAGCCTAACGCCTGGGGTACCTGGCTTTAGGCCTGGCGTCGCCAGCCTAACGCCTGGGGAGCCTAGTTTTAGGCCTGGCGTCGCCAACCTATTGCCAGGTGGGCTGTTGTCCCTCACTTTGTCTCCTGTTGACTTTGTCGTGCCTATTTGATCATCTTCTACCTCAATTGCATCACTCCCTACAGCCTTTGTTGAGTTTATCTCATCAAGGTTCTCGAGCTGCCCAGAATCTGCAAATGTTTGAGACGACATATCTTGACATGATTGGTTTGTAGTCACATTGAGTTGCCTTAGCTCCTCTTTGCTAGTTCCAAACCTTCTATGAACCCAGTCTATTGTGGATTCCTTATTAGCCTTTTCGTCAGTACTTTGATCACTAGGAACAATAGGATTAGCCTTAGCTAAGTTCCCATTATGCTGATCTTCCAACACTTTCTTCACCGCTTCCTTCTTCACACGCTTAAGTTCTTGTTGATTACTTTCTCCCGCTAGTTTAGTATTAGTAGGATTAGGGCTTGAAGCTCCGATAGTGCCTTCTTTTTCCTTTTCATAGCCCTTCTTTGATTGATTTTCCCCATGTTCCTTGTCCTTACCATTGCTATGATCCTCACCTTTGCCTTCAGTAATTTGTAGAATAGGTTGATGAACTTCCTCAACCTCTAATGCATTAAACTTGTTCTTGGTTGCTACCTCCTTAAGTTTGGCCTTCCCTTTACCCTTGTCAGCTTCCTTACTTTGTTTATTATCAACAATGTGACCCCTATTATCCCGTTGGTATTTGTTCTTCCTCGCTTGTATCCATTCCTGCTTGGCATGATTAGTAGCAGGCTTACCAACCACCTTTCCACTTGATAGAACCTTTGTTGAATTCGCAGCTATAGCAATTGCTTCAGTACTCACCACAACTGTCTTCTCCTTGCCTTGATCCTCAACATCTTCGTCAAATCTCTTGTGTAACTCAGGATGAATTACCCAACATTCTGCCTCACTATGCCCTTGTTTCTTGCAAGGCTTGCAATATTTAAGCATATAATCATACTTAATCCTAATCCATTTTAACTCTTCTAGCCCAGATTCATCAACTTCTTCAACAATCTTAATACGTTTAGGGAAATTACCTAGCAAATTCACTTCCACCTTTACCTTCGCACAACTAGGTCTAGTCCCATTTTGAGTTGCTAGGTCTACATGTAATGGATTACCAACTGCACGAGCTAATGAAAATACACATTCCTTACCAAAGAAATTTAGAGGAAGTTCTGGAAAACTAATCCACGCTATGTCAATTGGAGTCTCTTTATCAGGTGTTCGCCATGGATTCCATTTTGTACAACGCATCTGCCACATGTCTGATTGAGCCTTTAAATAAAAAGCTGGATTTGAGAGAAGATGAACATAATCCTCCAATAAAGACAGCCTAATTAACACATGATTGTCTTCAATCAAGCCAACTGAACAATGACCCTTAATCTCACAATAAGGTTTCAAATAGTGTATAAGAATGAAAAGATCTCTTATGTAATTTGCTCGAACAATGAAGCTGAGGCAAATGCCATTCTTTTTTGCATTACTTGATGTGTTCAAAATCAGTTTCTGTCTCTAAGTATTGAGTCTGACTGAATGCTTGTGGTGAATATGATAAAGGGAAGAATCAAAGCAAACTTGGCAACTTCAAGAAACCATTAGTAAAATCAGAAGATTAATGGAGCATGGGCAGTTTGCGATCAATCATTGTTACATGGAAATCAACATGGCCGCTGATACTTTGGCTAACTCAACAAATACAGAACTATCTTCAATACAACTATATCCATGCCAACTCAAGTTAAAGGCATAGTGAAGATGGACCGAGTGGGCATGCTTACCTTCAGAATTAAACCAAGAAAGTGAAGCTTTAGTATTCATGTATAGTCATTTAGGCTACTTTTTGGGATCACTAACTTTATTCATTGTAAAGGAGTCCTCCTCAGTTAACTTTTGTGTTAGTTTACTTTTAGTCTATAATAACATAGCTTTCCTGATAGGTTTTATTATCTGGGAAGTTTATCTGTATAGGAATGATGTGGTTCATTCCTTAATTAGAATGAAGAGGTTAGGCAAAATGTCCCCCTCTCACATGTAAACTTTTTGGGTTACTAATCTACAGGTAGATTAGTAAAAATTAAACGATTTAGGACAATCTGTTCTGTCTTATCACATTTCCTACAATTCTATTTGAATTTTTTGGTGTATAAATAGAAATAATTTAGGACAATCTTGACTTCTTTCAATACGAACAACAATTCAAACGATTTAGCCAAGAAAGAAGAGAACAAGATCTTCTTCCATATTTGAGAATTTCTTCAAAATTTCTGCAAATTCTCCAGATATGCTTCTTTCATATATATAGTCCCTCTAGTGTTTGAATTTGAAGTAGAAAAACTTTGAACACTAGATCAACTTCTTTTCCTTGGTCCTTTTTGACACATGGACCAATATTATGATGACAAGTGGTATGAGAGTCTAAACAATGAAGAAGAATGATGTGCAAAGAAGGTATGAGTAATACCCACGAGATTGTCTACGAAGATATTGTGCCCGGTAGCTAAATAGGTACGAGACACAGATAATTAAGGATATTGAAAGCCACAGAGATAGAAAGAGCATTAACAACTACGAGTATGGAAGGAAACCAACTGAATCCCTGATTATGTGCTATTGGCTATCATCAATCACTCACTATTGGCCTGAGTAAGTTTGTTTTGATGATTGACAAAAGAACACATGCATGAACCAGGTCCATGAACAGTGTACACAGGTGACAGACAAATCAAGCAAAAGTCTTGCACGAGAAAGGGATAATTATAAGTGGTTATATCTGGTATTCCCTGAACTAAAAGGCTGCATATTTGATAAGGAGCAGGACTCCTTACTTGAAAAGAACTCTATCCAAGATAAGGAAGAGTTAGAAGTTGAAGTTGACTAGAACTCTTCCACCAAGGAAGAGTAAATAATTAGAGCTCTAGTTAATCTTTATTTACTAAATCTATATATATCGGTTGTGTTTTCTTTTATAGGTGATGCACACATACTGAAGTTAAGCACAAATTGAGAGCAAAATAGCAATGCATTTTGTGAGCAATTACTGTAAGATTTAAGATTGCGATCTCGAAGCTACACGAATTAGATTGAAGAACCAGCTCGATAAAGAGTTTTATGTGTCTTTCTTTATTTCGAGTTCAAAGTGTAGTAGGCGTTTTGAGTTGTACCTTTCAGCTTTCTTAGAAACAAATTATACTAGGTACCTGAGTTGTATCATTCAAGTTAGAGTTAACTTGAAGTAGTCACAACAGCCTGTGGCATGTTGCTATAAGGGTTAGAGTTAATCCTTAGGTTTGCAAGAGGTTGTAACTCGAGTTGTATTGTTCAAGTTAGAGTTAACTTGAAGCAGTCGCAACAGCCTGTGGCTGGTTGCTATAAGGGTTAGAGTTAATCCTTAGGTTTGCAAGAGTTTGTAAAATTTGTTGTTGGCTCGGAGTTGTAATGAAGTGTTTGGAGAAAATCCTACTGGATAGTAGGACGTGATTTTTTCACCTTTTGAGCCGGGTGTTTTCTACGTAAAAATACTTGTGTTCTTTACTTTCCGCATTTATTATTTCTGCAATAGTAGTTTAAGGAACACATAGAAGAACCAGGTCCTTCTATAATGTGTGCACGCGAAAAATTAGACACTACACAAATCACCTCCCTCTTGTGTGATATTGAAGTATAAAACATCAATTGTAATAGGTAATTAATGTAATAAATATTATTAACGGACAAGAATTAAATAAGGCAGGCAGTTACGAACTGTGCCCTTATATAAGTTCCCCTTGAAGGTTTGAACCCCCTTGACCACTAAGCTACAGTTTTGAGTTATTTAAGGGGGGTTCAAAACTTAATATATAGAGGTAAAAAACAGATTTTGCCTTATATATACATTGTAATTTTTTGGCGAAGGGGTCCCCTTCCGCCCCCTAAATCCGCCCCTGATGACAACTATAAAGCAGTATTATCAAATGTCAATATTTTTATTATTCTCTGCCATTGAAAGATCTTGTTCTTTCCTATTGGGAGAAAGCATCAATCATCAATAAGATTCCTATTTCCTTATTTTCTCAGTCTTATTTTCCATTATTATTCTTTTATATTAAGAAAAATGAAGTAACTGGTTGTTAGAAACCCGAGTTATTCTTTTATTTGTTTTGACCACAAAAATTATTTTTTTGTTAAACATGTGTGTTTGAATTATGGAACCGTTTTCTTAAGAAAATGCTCTCACAACATTAGTTTATTCGGGAAACTAGAAAAAATAAACAGAATTAACATTTATTAATTCTCAAAAATAAATAAATAAATAGAAATAACAAAAATTGACAGTCTACATGTAACATATCTATATTGTCAGTCAGTCATAATTCCAATTTATTCAATCTTTCAAACAGATTATTTATAGTTATAGAGAATGCATCTTGGAATTTCTCCATCTTAGACTTTGGATCTCCGTACACTAATCCAGGTAACAACTCATATATTATGTACCTTCTCATATTCTCTCTTTCTTTAGCTGGAATTTGCATAAGCCTCTCAACAACATTGACTTTCATATTTCTCACATCTTCTTGATCTATGAAAACTGAGTATTTTCTATGATCTTCTGGTAAATGCCATGAATATTGATAGTACGCGGTAAAGGGATCAAAGATCACAGGAATACAACCTGATATTAACGAATCGAAAACTGATTTTCGTGTTGGACTATCACCTGGAGGCTGCAAGCAGAATTCAGATTCCATGAATAGCTCAATTATCGACTCGGGCTGGTCACATTTACCTGAGTTACAATTCAAGAATTTGCATTCTTCATCTTTAGTTGAAGTGCATTGGTTGATCAACATTGACCTTATGTTCTCTGGTGCACCAGGCCTAGCTGCACCAGCAAAGGACACGAGGCTTTTCCGATTTGACTTGATGATCTTGAGCTGCCACATTATTATATCATCGTCCGATTGTGGATGGAAATAAGTAGGATGAGGTATTCCTATGTCGTTAACATGCCAAGGTTGTCGTTCAATCAAGAGCTTAACCGGATTCTGCATTTCGTCTAGTTCCAAGAACCTACTCCCCCATTTTGTGTCACTGGATCTTCTGAAATCCCATGAAATTTTTCCTAAAACAAAGACATGATCATTACCTGATTTTTGAAACCAATGTTTTTGCGACTCTAGCCATCTTACAAGGTCTAGTCCCAACGTGTCCTTGACATCGTTCGAGACATTCTTGAAATGCCATCTCAAGATATCCAATCCACCATAGAAAGGCACATAAAATAGCTTAGCTTCATCTGCACTATATACTCTACAAGGATGATTCATAACGCGCGAATGAAATATCTGCTCCAATGAATACTGATGTGTTTGGTACCACCCTTTGCCAAGTTTCTGTATCGATTCGCCCATTGCATCGTTGCTGAAGTACTTGCAGAGATTGACCCAAGGAATCATATCTGCACATTGAGCTACCAAGTCTTTGTTGAATTTTGTTGGTAATTCATACACATAAATTCCCCTGCCATCACATGTTGTATGATTTTTGCTCGTTGCAGCCCACGAACGATGCACCTGCAATTGATCCTCTACATCATTGTAAGCCATCTCTAGTTCCTCATCACCACTTTTAACCATGTTGTTTCTGAAAGCAAGAATTTGATTTCCTGCAATAGAATTAACAGATACACTTGTACTTTCTTGTTTCTCACTAGGAGTGAATGTGGAACTCTCGTTCACACGCGAAATTGGGATGTCAAGAGAACTAGACTTTTGTATCAAAACATCCACAACATTATCAGTTGATGTGGAACTTCCATTGACTATTGGTGTTGGGATGTCAAGACGACTAGATTCTTTTAGCAGATCATCGACAACATTATTAGTGGATGTGGAACTTTCATTGACCATTGGCGTTGGAATGCCAAGACGACTAGATTCTTTTAGCAGAACATCGACAACATTTGACGGGGTATGCTTCGTATCAACTAAAATGGAAGGGGAAGTGCCATTGAGAAGCGAACTCGGGGTGTCAAGATTAGGTTCAGTGCCAGCAGAAATGCAATAAAGATTGTTGAGTTTGCGAGATGAGACGCAGATATGGACAACTTTACCAGAAATAATGGTAGTAGAAGAGGACCATAAGAAGATGAGAATCAAGATGAGGACTATAGTTGGTATTCTGAAGAAAAGTTTAGCTAAGAAAGAAGAGAAAAGAAAGCTAAGTTCTTTAGGTTCAACTCTTTTGTTAATCTTAGCTTTCTTCTTTGAAACAGAAATTGCCATCTTGCTGGCTAACAATCAAAATTTTCTTGATCTTTCTCTTTTCAGCTCTTCTTTTCTACTATTGTGGCTATTATTTGTTTGATTTTTTCCCAAAGAAATTGGCTTAACATGGCAGCACGTACTAACATGAAAAATCCCAATATATGCAGGCACGTTTATATGTTCCAATGCACTTATATAGCAGAAGGAATTAACAAAGAAAAAGTCAATATTCCCTTTTATATAATATTTTGCATGCTACGAAATCATAAAGAGTCAAGAACATGGTATATATATAATGCCACCATTACTAGTGGTTACGAAACATTTTTTAGCAAACCTAAACATAACAACAACAACAACAACAACAACAACCCAGCGAAATCCCACAAGTGGGGTCTGGGGAGGGTAGTGAGTACGCAAACCTTATCCCTATACCGAGGGAGTAGAAAGGTTGTTTCCGAAAGACCATCGGCTCAAGAAAACCAAAAGAAACAAATACATCAGTACCATCAACAGAAAACATAAAATAATAACAGCGACATAAGAACCCGAAAATAGATGGAAAGCAGTAACAATAACAAGTAAATAAGTCCCTATATGATGGAACACGGAAAAATAATGTGAACACAACATTAACCACTAGCCAAACCTAAACATAAGTTCCATGAAATTAGTTTTGGAGGTGCTGATTAAAAAAGTTGATGAAAGAAATAGATATTAAGAGTAGAGTTTATTATACTTAAAGATGGAGACTGGCCATGAGGATTTGTTAATTGTCCTGATCAATATTTTGTTAGTAACTAATATCCAATGCCGGAGCTAAATACACAAGGAGCAAAAGAAGGAACAAGTAAACTGAGACCTAGTCATCCACCAACTCACAACATACTATCTGTCCTAGCAGGCAGCCGGCGGAGGAAATTGATGGGCATTAAATTATAGGTTCTACGGGTTCAACTGAACTCATTGTTTTTCTGCTCGAATTATGTGATGAAGATAGCCATGCCACCGGGGTCACGCCAACTAACCAGCGACTGAAATGGCTTCCCTTGGGTTGCGAAAGCGACCAGCCATATTCCTTAGTGTCACAGGGGTGATTTATGTCACTCGAATTCTGCCCGAGGTTCACCTCCGTGCGGCAATAAATAGCCCAGCCTTGATTTCAGCCTTTCCAACACTTAGTTTTAATTTAGGGAGGTTTTGAACTTAGAATGAAAATAGGCAGCAAAACAGTAAATAAAGGCACACGATATACAGGAATTTCTTCCCAATTCGTATTAATATGTGAATACAAGAACACAAAAGCCAACCTTATGGCCAAGACAAAGAATTCCCTAATTCCCTGCCCCAAAATAATTTTCCCACCCTTAGGAAATGACTTAGACGATTTTGGCTTCACAAATGCACAAAAGCTAAGTTCTGCCCGTTTTTAGACAACCTAGGCACATATTTATAGGCTACAATCAGTTGACAAGCCCCAACTGATGGGCAAACAAGTTAGGACAATGTACAAAAATGTGAGCACATTTTTAGGCCATGATCAGCATGTCTTGGGAGAGGTTGCAACTGCCAACTGCTTCCCATGTACTTTGCACATGCTTTCCAACTACTGCTTGTGCACAGCATGTGCCAATTTCGACCAACTGCCTTGTGCCCAAGGCTGGCATTGCGCCCAGCCTTGCCCTTGACACTGCTCCGCGCCAATATCATGGCCATTGCTCGTCACCCGCTGACTTTGCCGCACACGTTTATTGCCACAACTGCCCGCTCATGTCAAGTCGCCCCCAACTTGATCAAATCTGCCCACATCAATTGCCATTGCTTGTCCCGCATTGCCTTGCCTTGCCTTGCCATGTCTTTGCCCCTGCTTGACATGGCTTCGCCTTGCCATTGTTTCGCCATGCCATTGTTTCGCCAACCCGCACGTTTAAGTAAAATGTGCCTTGCTTCCGTTCAAGGTGCCTTTGTCAAACCCCGCATAGTCCGTCATGCCGAGCTGCCCGTCATGATGTTGTCCCAATTTTTAGGTTGCGTGCCAAGTCCATCATGAAAATACTTGTCACAACCCACACCTGCCGAGTACCTTTGTCAAGGGGCTAACACTTAGCCTATCATATAAGGTTGGTTGGAAATGTGTCATACTCTTCAATCTTCATCTAGGTCATCAAGGTGGTTCAGCTAGTGATAATTTTATGTTCATGTGAGGAGGATACCTAGGCTGGTAGTGGTAATTCCACGCTCCTATTAGAAACTTGTAAAGAAAACAACAACAATAACGACAATTACGCGTCAATCCCAAACTCAAGTTGGGGTCGGAAGCTGATGTGACGCGTGCCTAGCTGAGCTTCTCCCAGTGATATATTTGGTATTATGATGAATGTTCATCTTTACAATGACATTGCTAATTGGTGTAAATATAAGCATTGGGATGTACCAATATCATAATATCCATTTTGAATCATGGTTAGTGAAGATTCATATAGCCGATTCCAACTTGTTTGGAACTGATACGTAAGGAAAGAATACTTTTTAGCCATGTTTGCTAAAAAACACAGATCATTCAAATGTTACATACTTAAAAGTAAAACAAGGAAAAAGAAAATGGGTCTACGTGAAATAAACTTAACCAAAATCTGGGTGGATGACTTCATGCATTATACAGTTCAGCTACTATTAGTATCTCAAATAAACCTTATACAAGAAGCACCAGTGGTCTAGTGGTAGAATAGTACCCTGCCACGGTACAGACCCGGGTTCGATTCCCGGCTGGTGCATTCGAGGGCGATGAAGTTACTTCGCACTAATGGTGAACGATGGGGCCGTCACACACATCTGACTTAAGATGAAAAGATTGTGCATCCGAGCTCTCGTTTTTTCCTTCCAGCTCTTTTGTTTCTCCCCTCATTTGCAGTCTGCAACTAGTAGGAGTTGAAGATTACAATCATCAGTCAAATGTTTCTTTTGTTATATTTTAGCTTTCTTGAAGAGATCAGATTGGCCACTGCCGCTCTTACGGCGTTCAAAATTTTAGAAAGGAAATTATTTTTGATGGCCTCAATTTTTTTTTTTTTTTTTTAGGCAGTAAGGTGCCGCAAGTTGCCCTATACTCCTTTAAAATCAATTACGATTTGCGACCAGATCTAAGTTTATGGCACCGGTTTTGCAGCTTGCAAGATTTAAAGAAAATCCTGGCTTAAAGTTATACTAGTATCCGTACCCGTGCGTTGCGCGAAAAATATTAAATATAATTTTTCATAAGAAAATATATATTAGAAAAGACGGTAGATACAAAAAGCAAGGAAATGCTATTATTTTTAGGAACATATTAATGTAATAGATATTCGCATAATAATGTAGTAAGGAAACACAATAAAAAAAACATACAATTATTTTCTGAAGTTCAATGCTATTATTTTTAGGAACATGTTAATGTAATAGATATTCGCATAATAATGTAGTAAGGAAACACAATTAAAAAAAAACATACAATTATTTTCTGAAGTTCAATAATGTTCTTTATAGCCTCAAAAAAGCAAGTCATGTATACCAGCTAGATTGCCACAAACAAAGGTTTCTAATGCCTTGAAAATTCAGAAATACAACAAAGCCATAGTATTTCAAGATAGAAAAATCAGACTTCATAACATACAATTAGGGGAAAACAATTACTCCCCACTTGCACAACCTTGAAATCCACAATTACACACTCTATTACAATAACTTTCCTAAGGTGCTTGGGGACACGACAATGTACACACTCATAAAAATTGGGGTACGAGTTTTTGCTTGATATTACATGCATATACGCTATCTAGGCTACATGTCAAAACATAGGAAATAGGAAAGAATTAAATATAAGAAACAAACAGATTCTTAAGATGTAAAGGATGTTGCCTTAAAATACCTTCTTTCACCGTTCAATCAGGTTGCGATCTACATAATATTGTTACAAATAGAAGTCATATGAAGCATGACTTATTTCACTGAAGTCTTATTATGCTCTTTATTTTGCATGTAGTATTTTTGTCCTTCCTTTATGTCAAGAATTATAGGTTGTTAACTTAATCAAACGTAGCTTTCTAGCATAAAATTCTTCAATCTTACTGGAAAGTTAGCTTTACAAATTGCAGATTCTCAAACTTCGATGGTATGTTCTCATGGAAGTGGGAGAATGAAAGCCTTGACAGAGTGATATTCTGTCACACTCGTGTCCTTTTGGCTTTGATTTCTATCCCCCCTAATTTGTTTTTGAACTTTTATCCCACTACTAGGGTTACTTTTTTCAATAATTTGAGATTCTTTAAGGATGTTGAGTTTGAGGGGGGAGAGCAAGTTAAGGACTTTGTCTTTAAAAAAGAGCATATTGATATTCCTCTAATTGCTACTGTCAATGCTCAGGAACAACTTTCTATACCTGACATTATTCAAAAAGCAAATTTGGATCAAAGACAATATTATTCAACCGTCCTTCGAGAAATAGTTTCCAGAGAACAAACTCTACAACCTCAAAAATAAATTTCAATAAAGAAAATCATCTATTGACTTAAGAAAAAGCTCATTAATAGTATTACTACTTTTTTCAAGTTATTATCTCATTTAGTTTCGAGATAAATCTTGTTAATTATTGTGTATACCACAAGCTTAGTGGGGGATAAGTATATATATATGTATATATATATATATATATATATATATATATATATATATATATATATTTTTAATTGTGTGATGTATGGTCAGCTTTGTATGCATCTGAATATTTCATCTAATTCAGGGATGTTGGGCAGATATTTAAATAATTTATAAACTTATCTTTTGAAAGAGCTTAAAGGTTCAAACGGTAATTACAGAGAATAAATATTTTTTGCTCACACAAAGAAAGGCGAGAAAGTTAAAGATAATCAGTTATTCGGATATTGACTTCATTAGATGCTGATATAATATGACATACTTGGTTGATGAGCTATATAAGTAAGACTGTTAAAACGAACACTCATAGCTCTTTTCACCGTGACAATTAATTTATAACATATTATGTAGCATCTGATTATGGAATAAGACAGCAGAATTTTATCACTGGTTGCAAATTTATGGATAAAGTTGAAAGCACACTTGAGTTGTTTTGTGACAATAA